GTCCTTCGCGAGTGCAGCGCAGTGGCGCGGGAGAAGCGGTGGCGATAGAGGGGTACAGAGGGTGGTGGTGGTACGGGGTGCTCAGAGGGCTGTGTTGGGCGATCAGAGGGGGGGCGCTGGGTGCTCAGAGAGTGGCGGCGGTCGAGGTGCACTCGGATCGGGTGTGCACTCTGGCGGCGCGGGCCTCGCTCGGCAGATTGAGCACTTCCTCCGCAAACTCGCGCCGCACCGTCGCCGAGACGATCTCGCCCGCATCCACCATGCCGCCCGGCAGGGCGATGACGCCGTTATCCGAGCGGACGATGGCGGCGACCTGCAGCCGGCCGCTCGCCGGTGACATAATGGTGATGAGTAGGATAGCACAATCCGGGTGACGGCAGTGGCCTGCAGCCGGCCGCTCGCCGGGTCGAAGCGTGTGACGATCGGGTCGGCGGCGTGGTTGGCGCCTGCAGGACACGCCACGTGGTCATGCGGACGGGGCAAGGGCGGGTGCACCGGCTTGGCGGCGAGCTCGGACACCCCACTTGCCGAGGTAGCCGCGCTGGCTCATCCCCGTCCGGCCGCGAGGGTTGAGGGGCTGCTGATGGCCGTCAAAGGCGATCGGGCCTTCGTACGACGCGCGGCACGGCCAGTCGACGCTCGTCGGATCCACGGGGTCTGCCCAGCCGCCTGGCTTCACCGTGCTGTCGTTTGCGAGCACGTGCGGCGCCGTGAACGTCGTTGGCGAGTAGTCGGGCCACTTCACCGCCCACGGCACCTTCTCGTCGGCCACGACGGCCCGGGCGGGGTAGAATGGGAAGGCAGAGCGGGCCTGCGTGTGCGGCCGCGACCCTGAGCTCGATTTAGGCTCGCTGATAGCGAGCTTCTCTGCTTTCTGCTGGAGTTGCTTCTCTGCTTCCGCCTCCTCCAGCCGCATCTCCTCTTGCTCGCGGTGGTTCCGGAGCCGCGCCTCTGTCTGCACGTCGTGCCGGGACTCAGACCGCGATTTGCTGCGGCGGAACATCGTTTGCCTGTGGCGAGGGAGAGGGCTGCGGCGAGGGAGAGGGCTGCGGCGAGGGAGAGGGCTGCGGCGAGGGAGAGGGCTGCGGCGAGGGAGAGGGCTGCGGCGAGGGAGAGGGCTGCGGATGGCGACGGCGATCGGGACGCCTGGATTTGGGCGTTTGTCGCCAGCGCGGCGTTCCCAATTCTTTCCCGCAACCGGTCGCGGCGAGGGAGACGGGCTGGGCGATGGCGACGGAGATAACGACGGCGAGGAGAGACCCGACATCTTGCCTCGAACGCGCGAACAAAAAAGAATAACGCACGGTCCCTCAGCGGAGCTGGGAAGAGGACCGCCGCAAGCGGCGTGGCGTGGAGCGGTTGCCGGTTGTGCATCCCTCCGGGGGCCCCTCTGCGCCGGGGAGGCGTTGTTGGAGGCTAGGACGCAAGCGTCCGTCGCCCTTTTCAAACTCGGGGCCCACTCCGCTACGCTCCGACCCGAATTTGGAGGGCCTAAAAGTTTAAGGTGTTGCTGCGCAAAAGGGGTCGGACACCGGGCGCAGCTCATGCTAAGAGCTAGAAGAGGAGATAGAGAGAACAACCACCCTGTCCCGTTATTGCGTACACCAACACCACAAAACGCTCTCTCTCTCCTGTCCTCACTCAGGGGGGTCACAACTACCAAGTCCCTCGACTACTCGAGTAGCTGCCACAGGGCGCAGCTGCCACAGGGCGCAGCTGGAGACGCTCCCCCTCAATCGGCATCCACCCCCACCCGCTCCAGCCCCACTTCTGCTGCCGAGAGAGCTGAATCGAAGCAAGCGAGCCATTGCATCTTGGCCACGAGCACGGCGGAGTCGGCGTCGTAGCGCGCATCGTTCCCGCTCATCGCCCATTCCTCCCGTGACGTGTGTCGGCCGCGATTCGATGTCGCCACCTTCATCGCCAACGAGGACTCCCTCGACTGCAGGGGGGCTCCGGCGCGGGGAGGGACTCCGCCTGCTGCGCTGGCCGACTGCGCCCTCCTCCTCCATGGGATCGATCCGATTCCTATCAGCGGCTTTCCCCTCAGGTAGCGCGAAAGCACGGATTTGGCGGATTCTTGGCTTCAATTTTACGAATGTCTTGGCACCAGCTGAAGGCTTGCCCCCGTCCACGGCCCAGATCGCCCAGTTCGTGCACGGTATTCGGATTTTGGCTATTTGCTCGTGTGGGGGTATATCGCAGATTTGTCAATGGTACCGCGTCTGCGACGCGGGCGCCTTGCGGGCAGAGCCCTTAGCCACCCTTTATCTTGCGCGGGCAGAGCCCTTAGCCACCCTTTTATCTTGCGCGGTCAGAAATCCAGCGCCCCGAGAGCAATGTATCAAAAGAGCGCACACAGGTGTCTCTCTTGCGCGTCTCGGTAGTTATTGGTTCTCTCAGCAGCGACCAGCGCCTCTCACACACAACAAACTGGTTGGGTAGTAGTCTAAGTTCTGAGCCTCGAGGCTGGACGGGTCTAAGTGTGGCTAGCCACGCTGGAGTGCTTGCGCGGTCTAAGATCAGCGGGAGCCTCTTACATCGGCTAAGTCGGCCGTGGCACGGCCTGGGGCCAGGAGGCTCCCACCGTGATCAACGATACGGCGCAGCCCCCAAATTTTCTTCGCCTGCGGAGGGCGATGGATCCTCTTCATGCTTAGCAATCGCCGCCTCAGCATCCTCCTCTTCCGATTTTCGTTGCTGCTCCTTCATTCTTGAGCGACGTCTAGCCAAACAGTTCTCACATGACACGAAGCTCCTCAAGCTTAATCAAACGCGTGACGGTGAAGCCTGTGTGTGCTGGTCCTCTTTGAACGATCCGCGCGTGAGGTAGCATAGGGCCTTGTTGGCAGCAGCCAGCTTGTTGCGCTGCTTCGTTGCGATGAGCTGATTGGGATCGCAGAAGTGCATGCCAAGCACCGCCACGATCTTGAAGCAGAACACATCGCAACCGCATCGTCCGCACTGCCATCGGCATGCCGCGCCCGCCGCTTCGCCGCAGCCGCCTTAAGGCACGCATAGCGGCAGCACATGGTGGGGGGGGTACTTGAGCAGGCGTTGCGCGCCGCAAGTAGCGCACTGGCCCTGGGACAAGGCGATATGGCGTCGTGCGCGGCATACGCGGCATACGTTGGTGGGACGCGTCCAGGTATTTCGGGTAAACCTGGAGGCTTTTCAGGTACCGCCCCGCCCGCGCGCCCACCGCAGCGCCACCTCTGCCCCCCTTGGCCCTGCCCCCGCGCCCCGCCAAGCCCGAAGCAAAGCCACAGGATGGAGGCGTCCTCACAAGAATCCTTGACCTTGTTCCATGAACGAGACTCTCGAGAGCGTCTAACGTGCGCGTCTCGCCTCGCCTGCTCTCCTTGCCCAGCCTGCCGTGGGAAGAGGAAAGAGCCGAGCGCCAACCCACTGTGCATCCAGCTTAGGCGCGGCGCCGAGCCACAATGTACTCGCCAAGGCCCAAGCGGAGGTCGAGGTAGGTTTCGTCCATCTCGATGACGACCTTCTTGCTCAGCGGGTGCGGGCTGCTGCGCAAAAACTGCACGGCCGCCTCATCCACGCCGAACAACTGGCACCACTTTGCTTTCACCCGTCGCATCGTGTTGCCGAGCTTGCCCTTGTATGCAACCAGCGGGCGCTTGTACCCGTCCGTGTCCCATCCGTCGGGCTTGACGAGGACGCGGTACCTCGCCTTGGGTCCCAGCTTCTGCGTCAGTGCTGCGGCACTTTTCTTCGCAATCCGTGCGGACTTCGCGCCGTTGGAGCCGTATGGGACACCTGATCGCGTGCGGACCTGGTCCGCCTTCTCCAGCCAGAGGAGGTCTTGCTGGCACGGGTAGCGTTCCTCATCCTCGGGCCGTGGATGATTCACAAACCCCGGGACCCATCCCTCGGGAACGTAGTAGGGCTCGCTCATCTCCTGCTCGCCTCGCACGCTTCCCTTCGCTTGGGACGTGCGTTTAGCCGTAGCTCTACGGCGCAACGGTGGAACGCTAAACCGGTCCCCCCCCCCCCCTCCCGTTTTCTTTTGAGGGGGGGGCAAGGTTCCCTTTTTTCATTCAATTTTCTCGCCTGAGCCTCTGCCCGCCGTGGTGGCCAGTCTGCAGCGCCTAACACTCTTCTTTCTGGGGCTTGCCCGCGTCTCACCCGTTCCGTGTCGAGCTGGTGTCGAGCAGTGATACCCCCTCCACTTGCTTTCGTGGAGTAGTGTCGGTGCCGTCATAGTAATCATCTCGTGGAGCAGTGTCAGCAGTGTCGGTGTGCCGCGCCTCCGTCACGCACCCTCCCTCTTTTCACTTTTCTTTCTTTTTTTACGTTTCGGTGTGCAACAGCCTGAGTGCCAGTGCCGTGCATGAGGGGTGCCGCTCCTCGTTCTCAATTTCGCTTACAAAACTGCGACACACACACCCGCCTGTGTCTTCACGTCCGCTTTCCGCGGCGCAGCCACGCATTCCTACACACAACTGGCGAGACGAAGCCATGCTCCGCGCTGTTCGAGCGGGAGATGGTGCTCGCAGAACTCAAACCCGTTCCGCAGCGGCGCTGCCTCTTGGTGAACGCTCACTGACCGGGTTTTACATCGTGCTCCAGTCCTCGTTAGTCCTTTGCATTGCACTGCCGACTGCTTGCGTGGCACTGGCAGCGGCCATCCGCACGGTCCATCCACCGGTGCACTGCAGCACGGCTTGCACATCGGCCCGCCAGGGTCCGAACCCAGGCGCCTAAGCACCCCATCCAAGCGGCAGTGCATCCTGCACACACAGCACGAGACCAGCACGCCACCCTGCGCGAGTCCCACCACGCGCCAAAGCCAAAGGTCGCGCACGTCCGTGCGGGTCAACCCGCGATGTAGTCCCACTCGGAACGGCCCCGAGAGCGGAACGGAATGCCTCCCTGCACACTCAATTCGTGGCGCCACCTACGACCTCGCGCGCGGCGATTGTGAGGGGCTCAGTCCAGAAGCCTCGGCATCTTTGCGCTTGGCGCCGTCGAGGTCTCGGGCCCCTGCTCGCGGCCGTCGCCGGCGTCGTGCTCGCCCGAATCGAAGACGCTCCGCCCCGAAGGGGACGGCGGCGGGGCCTTCCGCTTCCCGTCCTCGGGCTCGGAGTCAGACGCCTCGTCTTCGGTCTCGGGCTCGGCCGCTAGGCGCCGAGCGCGCTTGTGCGCGAGCCGCAGCCGGAAGTTGATCTGGTAGCGGTCTTCCTTGTTCAGTCCTTTGACGCACTCTCGCAGCCAGAGGACCGCCTTCTTCCCGTTCGGATGCTCAGCGAACTCGTCGGCGAAGATGTCGATGAACGTCCGCCAGGTCATATTCGCCAGGGGCGCCAGGGCCATTGAGAGGACACGGCAAAGTTTCGCCGCGAGTCGTCTCTAAAACGCCAAATTTGGTTCCCTCAACGCACTGGTTTCTTTTTTGACGTTCCCCGTCGCCGCACGGAGCACCGGCCCGCACGAAGCACCGGCCCGCGTCACCCCTCGCCCACGGTTGTTTTCGCTCGGTCCTCTTTCTCAGAGTTCTCCCTCGCCCACGGTCGTTTTTGCTCGGTCCTCTTTCTCAGAGGGAGTTCTTCCCCCTTCGTTCTGGGCCTTCCCCGCGGCACAAAAAGAGGCAGACGGGCTAGCTCGACGTATCCTAAAACGCGCGCGCCAGACAGAGTCGTCGCTCGTCATCCCGGGGTTACCCACACACGACCCTATCACGCGTCTCACATTCGCAAACCAAGTCAGTCAAACCTCTTGCGACGCACCGCGGTGATCGCCCGCGTCTTCATCGGCATCATCGCCGCGGCCCGGCGCTCCGTCGCCTCCGTCTAGCGCCGCGATCGCCTCGGCGACCATCTCGTCGTCGAGCTCGAGCTCCTCGACGGCCGCGCCCAGCAGGGGCGCGTCTGCCGCCTCGCTCGCGCTGGCCCTGGCGGTCGCCGCCGCCCCGGCCGCGTACGCCGCGTTGCCGATCGCGGCCCGTGCGGAGAGGTTGTACCACCCCCAGTACGTCTCCCGGAAGCTCTCGCCCAGCGATGCGGCCGCGCCCACCGCGAGCGACTCGACGGCTGCGGTCTCGGACTCGGCGTGGGGCTCGCGCTGCCAGCGCAGCCGCACCGCGCCGCCGCAGTGCTCGCACCGCCGCTCCTCAAACCCTGCGACCGTGGTCGGCCACTCGATGGAGGGTCGCCCTGCGCAGTCCTCCGAGCCGCACTCGAGGATGCAGATGTCCTCGCTCCGCCGCCGCACGCGCCCGTACACCTCTGCCGGCGTGCCCGCCGTCGGAAGCACGTGCAGAGCCCCCACACGCAGGATCGAGCCCTGCAGCATCGCCGGAAGCTTGCGCAGCATCCGCAGCTCGCGCGTGCGGTCCCTGCGATCCAGCCCGAACGCGATCGCGTCATCCTCCGACCGAGGGGCCCACGCGTGCGTCGAGAGCATCGCCATCCGCAGCGCCGGCGCGGCGCGCAGCCGCTCCTGCCCTTCCTTGTAGAGCCGAAGCTGGTGCGCCTCCACCGCGTCCTTCTCCGCCTCGCCCTTCCGATTCCAGAGCCGGCGCTGCGCCGCCTCGTACTCGTCCACCTCCTCGCCGCCGCCAGCTGCACGCGCGCGCGCCTTGAAGCACCTCGGCAGCTGCGCGACGCCGAGCCGCTGCTGCAGCTTGCGTCGTGCGCCCGCCACCTCCTCCGACGCCTCCGCCACCTTCGCGTCGCTCCGCGCCGCCTGCCGCTCCGGGCACGCCCGCGGCAGGTCGCCAAAGCCGCGCACGCCGCCCACCTCCGGCACACGCGACGCCGAGAGCGACGTCAGCGGCGCGCGCTCCACGCTCCCGAGCGCGTCGCGCCGCATCCAGTATGCGCCGAGATCGCGCGTGCGCAGGTCTGCGCGATAGACCCGATCCATCGTCCGGGAGTTGACCTGGCGGTGGCCCAGCACTCGCGCCGCGACGGCGCCGTGGCCCGCCGACGCCGGCTGCTCGCACGCATCTTTGCGCAGACTCCACGCGCCCACCTTGTGCCGGGCCATGCCCAGCTGGCGCCCCGTCTCGATCAGGCGCCGGCAGAGTCGCTGCACGTCGAAGCTCTCGGTGAACAAGAAGAACCCCGTCGCCTCGTCGACGCCGGGGAACAGAGGCCGGTCCAGGGCCGCCTTGTCGAGCACCCAGCCGTCCGCTCGGCACGCCGCAACTAGCGCCGCCAGCGTCTCGTAGCCCGTGTCCTCCAGCTCGAGCCCGGCGAACCCGCTCGGCTCAGCCACCTTGCGACGCAGCGCCGCCGCGCTCGCCTCGCTCAGCTTCGAGTAGCACGCCCTGAAGCTTCCGCAGCGCAGCAGCAGGCGCACCATCGCCAGCGTCCCGATGCGCATCATCTGGTCCGAGTCGGGCGTGATCGCCGTCCCGAACTCGTAGCACGCGTAGTACTCGCCCTTCTTGCGCGCGAAGGTCACCTCCATCCGGAGGAGGGCCTCGAAGTCGCCCTCGGTCATCACGCCCGCCCCGCCTAGTCCCCGCAGCAGCTCATCCGCGGCGATGGACAGGTCGCCCATCGTCAGCGGCGGCAGCTCGTGCCTGCCGGCGAGCGGCACGGCTCAGTGTCATCTCGCCTCATCGCACGCCAACGCCACCGTTCTCTCTCTCTCTCTCAGCGGGAGACGCGCGCCAGTGGCTGTCCATATCGGCCGCGTCCGCCGCATCGTTCACCGCCATCCCCGGCCGGCACCCGGTCTGCCGCGCGAAGCACAAGTAGGCGTTCATGATGAAGGCCACGTTCACCTCGAACGGCTCTAGCAGCTGCGTGTCTTGCATCTGGTACTCTCCCACCTGGAAGAGGTGCTGCCTCGTGCACGGCTTCGTCGTCGCCTCGCGCAGCTCGGCCATCGTCCGCCGGCTCGCCTCGGCGCTCGCCCTCTCGCTCGCCGCCCGCTGCGCCGCCTCGCTCTGCCCGTGCGACGCGCTCTCCCGCGCCGCCTCGCGGCCCGCCGCCCGGCCGGCGGCTCCTGCCGCGTCCTTCATCCCGCCGCCGCCGCCGTCGAACAGCGACATCACCTGGTTGGTCACCAGCCGCCAGTACTGCCTCGCGTCGCTCGGCATCGCCGGCCAGATCTCGCGCCACACGTGGTTCTTCATGTGCTGCAGCGCGACGTAGACCGTGCTCTCGCCGCGACCCGTGCGCACCGTCGGCTCCTCCTCCCGCGCGTCGCCCCGCTCGGTCGCGTGCCACCGGCTCGCCCTCAATGCTCTGACTCGCGTCGTCGCCAGCCACTTGCCGAAGCGGATCGTCCACCGCATCGTCGGGTGCAGACCGAGGGCCGTCCGCTGCATCGGCACGCTCTTCCCTGCCGCGGCCTGCGTTGCAAGGAACTCGCGCAGCTGCAGGCGCACGCGCCGAAGCTGCACCGACAGCGCCGGCCCGTGGGGCGCTAGCATCGGCTGCTCGTCGCCACGCGCAGCCTCGTCCTGCCGCTCGTCGTCCTCCGCCTCGAGGACGTCCGCCAGCGCGCTGCGCCGCACACCCCGGCACGCGGGAGGCGGCGCCGGCCGCACCTCGGCCGCCTCGGCGGCACCCGCGGCACGGGCGCCCTCGCCGTCCGCGCGGTCCATCGCCGCATCCCCGTCCACGTCTGCGGCGGCGCCTCCTGCGCCCGTGCCGGCCTGCTCTGGGACGGCTCGCCACCGCTCGTCGTCCAGCATGTGCCACCACCGCCGATCCGGGTAGCCGTCGTACTCGACCTGGTGCGCGATCCGTCCGTCCCCGTCCTCCTCCCGGCCCATGACGGTCGCGGGGTACCACCGCTCGGTGTCGCAGAAGATCTCGAGGCGCGATCCGGTGGGCAGGACAGTGTGGCCGTTGAGCGCCGCCCTGCCATCCTCGCGCTGTCGCTTCCGCCGCTTCGCCTTCGTCTCCTTGCAGCGCAGCAGGGTGTAGTTCGGGCCCGCCTCCGCCACGCTGTCCAGCAGCTGGACGGCGCTCACCATCTCGACCGCGTCGTCCTCCGGCGGAAGCTCCGCGTTGCCCGCGGCCGCCTCCCGAGCGCGCTCGTCGCGCATCCGCTCGTGGTGGGCCTGCCGACGCGCCACGCCGGCGCCCGTGTGCCTCGCCGCCGCGTCCGGCGACGGCATCGACGCTGTCTGCCCGAGCGTGACTCCCAGCTCCACGATTTGCGGTCGACCAAATTTGGCTGCCCCCATCAAAGTTGACTCCCTTCCTTAGATACATACATACCCGGGTTTTGCCCGGAGTTGGCCTTATGTCGTCTAAGTTCATGGCCCCCGACCATACAGCGTCTAAGTCCGAGCCCGGCTCCGTGTGGGGGCTAAGTTGAGCGCTCGCTCGCTGCAGAGGCTAAGTGTAGAGAGCGACCCTTATAGCCCTCTACTACCCAACCATTCACAACAACAAACAATTTTCTCACGCCTCACGGGGAAAACATGAAAATTGAGTTTTACATACTAATTCAACAGCTGCGGGTGTGGATCCTCAGCACTCTCAACCTCTGTGAGATTGTGACTGCACCAGACAACACAGCGCGTGGGCCATACTGTACAACGTCGACACCTCTCTCACGGTAACGCCCTCGGCCCTCGGGCTCGGCCCTCCTCACGCGGCGGCGCTTCCCGACGCGCGCAAGGCCGCCTTGCTCGCCATGAGTAGGAAGATCTGCTCTAGGGTGCACTGCGTGACGGAAGCCTCTTGCACCGGCAGCGACTCGCGCAGCGCCACCAGCGCGCCAAACAGCTCCGAGAGCGGCGTGCCGGCCTGCGGCACGGTGAGCGACAAATTGGGCGGCTCCACCTCCGCCACCTCGACGCCGTCAAACTGGCGGCGCAGCGCGGCGAGCACTCGCTCGACGGCCGCCTCCGCCTGCTCGGGCTGCAGCCGGAGGTCGAGCTTGTACCCCTGCCCGTACCGCGACTTGAGCGCCTGCAGGGAGCCGACGCAGCGCAGCCGCCCCTCGACCATGACCCCGATGCGGCCGCACAGCGCCTCGCACTCCTCCATCGAGTGCGAGGTGAGCACGGTGCATGCGTCCGCGGTGCGCCGCTTGATGGCCGCCCAGAGGAATCGCTTCGAGGCGGCGTCCATCCCCGACGACGGCTCGTCGAGCAGCACGAGGGACGGCGCGCCCACGAGCGCGATGCCTAGTCTCGGGTGATCTCGGGTGATCTCGTGGAATCTCGGCAAACCAGGCGCAAACGCGAGCGCGACGCCGACGCAGAGCTTGCGCTTGTTGCCGCCAGAGTACTGGCCCGCCGGCTTGTCGCCAAACTTAGCGAGGTCGAGGTCCTGCAGCAGCGCCTCCGCCTCCGCCTCGATGGCCGCGGGCGGCACGCCCTTGATGCGCGCGTACATGCGCAGCGTCTCGCGCCCCGTCATCAGCCCCTCGAGCGCGTCGTGCTGAGGGCAGTAGCCGACGCGCCGCCGGATGGACGCCTGGTCGCGCCGCACGGACAAGCCGTCGAGGGCCGCGTCGCCCGAGCTCGGCGCCACCGCGCCGGTGAGCATCGCAAAGGTCGTCGACTTGCCTGCGCCGTTCGTGCCGAGGAAGCCGAAGCACTCGCCCGTGCGGATGCGCAGCGACAGGTCGGCGACCGCAACCTTTGGCCCGAACACCTTTCGCAGGCTGCGCAGCACGAGCTTTGCCCCGTCAGCCCCCGCCGCGGCCCCCTCCCCGCCCGCCGCGCCCGCGGCCACGGCGGCCCGCTCCGCGAGGACCGACTCGTCCTCGAGCCCTGCAGGAAGGTTCCGAGAAGGTTCGGGGAAGGCTCCAGGAACCGTCTCGTGCACGAGCCGCGCGCCGCTGCGGCCGCCGCCACCGGCCGGCGCGGCGCCGCCCTGCCCAGCGGCAGCGCCGCTCTGCCCGGTTGAGGCGCCGCTCTGCCCGGTGGCGGCGGCCGGTGCCCGGGGACGCCGGAGGCGCGCGGCCAGCGCAGGGAGGAGCGGCGCGGCCTCGTTGTACTGCAGCGCGAGGGTGGCGCACCCAAAGACGAGCCCCTCGGCGAGGAGGGCGAGGAGCGGCGCGCCGAGCTGGTCCGAGGCGAGCAGGTTCTGCTCGTGCCCCTCTCCGACGAGCGCGCGGGTGGCGTCGCGCATGGCGAGCGTGTAAAAGGCGTCGCCGAGGCAAAAGGCGGGGAAGAGGCGGTAGAGGGGCTGCAGCTGCTCGTTGGCGTCCGCGGTCGAGTCGATGAAGGAGAGGATGAAGTTGGCGATGACGAGGCCGAAGCCCGACACAAAGTGGAAGGCGATGAGCGCAATCAGCCCGGACGAGGGCGACGAGAAGAAGAAGGAGGAGGCGGAGGCGAAGGGCACCGCGGCGAACCCAAACAGGCCGAGCGACAGCGCGGTGGCGCCGAGCACCTCCGCTGAGCCCGCGAACGCCTTTGCGGCCGCCGGCACGACGCCGCGCGCCACGCACAGCACGGCGAGGGTGGCGAGGAGGACGGCGGCGTAGAGGGCCGCGTCCCAGAGCCAGGAGGAGACCCAGTAGGCGACGGGGCCGACGCCAGAGACGAACTGCATCTGCTTGGAGCCCGACTCTCGCTCGCGCAGCAGCGGCGTGACGAAGAGAGCGCCCACAAAAGCGAAGGGGACGAGGACCTGGCGAGCGGCGAGTCGGGATCGCGAGGCGTGGTGGGTAGCTTCCGGGGCAAGAGGCAGCAGAGTGGGGCGAAGGCCACGGCGTGGCGAACAGCGACGAGGAGGGCCGACTGCGGACCGTAACTACTGCGCACTACTGGACGCTAATTCATCGGACCATGATCGAGGCAAAGACGGCGATGATGGCAGAGAGCGTCGCCTCCTGCCGCTTCGAGTACGGCAGCGCCGACGCCGAGGCGCTCAGCCGCGAGCCGCCCGCCGTCGCGTTGGCGAGCAGGCTGTCGTACGCGGTGGCGATCAGCGCCGGCAGCGCGTGCGTCGAGGTCGAGTTGAAGAGGGCGAAGAGGAGGCGGTCCGCGGAGCCGGCCGCGCGAAGCCCGCGCGCGAGCGGCTGCGCGTGCGGAGGCAGCGCGCTCGCCGCCCGGCGCGAGAGCAGGCGCGCCGTCGCGAGTGCGGCCGGCCTGGTCACCTCCGGGTGCGCGGCGAGGAAGGAGGAGACGTTGCGCGCCGCGGCGGCGCCGCTCGAGCAAGCGAGCCCGCCGCCGTCCTCGACGTCCCACCCGTCGGAAGAGAGGGTCGGCGGCAGCGCCGGGTCCACCTGCTCGGGGGGCAAGCCGGATCTCGGCCAAATCTCGGCCCGATCTCGGCCCGATCTCGGCCAAATCTCGGCCAAATCTCGGCCAATTCTCGGCCAATTCTCGGCCAAATCTCGGCCAAATCTCGGCTACGACCTCCGCCTGCTCGGGCACGAGCAGCCGCACGCCGTGCTCGCCGACGAGGCCGTGCCGCCCGAGCGTGTCCGCGAAGACGGCCTACAGGGAGCGGACTCCTTTCCCCCGCCGGTCTTTCTGTCTCCTGCCCTGGCGGGCACGCGAGGGCTGCCGACGGGACGAGGCGGAGAGGAGGGCCGGGGCTGGTGAGGCGCGCGGATGCGCCGAGCAGCAGCAGCGCGAAGAGGACGAGCCACACGGGACAGCAGAGCGAGCAGCAGGTGGTGAGCAGGTCGCGCCGCGCGGTGAGAGCGCGCTTGGCGAGCAAGCCTGTCCGCAGTCGAGTATGCACTCTGAGTGCAACCGGCGACGAGCTCAAGCGGCCGAGAGTGCGATGAGCTGCAGACACCGCGGACGACGGACGCCGAGCTTGCCCCCGCCTCGCTCGGCTCACTCGAGGGAGGGGGAGGAGGAGGGGCTCGAGAGTCGGCGGTAGAGCCCGCCGAGATGCGCCGCAGCAGTCCGCCCGCCTCCTCGGCCGCCCGCCTCCGCCTCGCCGACCCGCTGGAGAGGCGGCCGTCCGAAGAGGTGGAGAGGCGCAGCGCGACCGCGTCCGCCGCGGAGCCCGCCTGCACGGGCTTGGACACGGCTCAGGGAAAGCGTCCGCGGCGATATCTCGGCTTTCCCTCGGCTTTCCCTCGGCTATCCCTCTGCTCCGTCTCGGCTACATCTCGCCTCGATCATCTCGGACGCCTCCTCCGCCGTCTCGAACGAGTCGTCGCCGGCGGACGAGGGCGGCGCCGACGAGGCAGGGGGCGTCGGGGATGCCACCGATCGACTCACCGCCGACGGGGCGGGGGAGGCCGGGGCGGGGGAGGCCGGGGCGGGGGAGGCGGGGGCGGGGTCCCCGTCCGAGGTGAGGGCGAGCGAGGTGCCCGACTGGATCTGGCGCAGCCGCGCGAGGTCGCGCTCGTTGATCTGGAGGAAGACGTCCTCGAGCGTGGTGCACGTCACGCCTACCCGCGGGCACGCCTTGGCTGGCCCTCGGCCTTGGCCGGCCCTCGGCCTTGGCTGGCCCTCGGCCTACCTCCGGCCCGCGAGCCTCGCGGCGCGCGCCTCGCCGAGGTCGGCCACACCGAGCGATATATCTCGGCTGTACCTCGGCCGCATCTCGGCTGTATCTCGGCTAGATCTCGCCGAGGTCGGCCACGCCGAGCGACGAGCGAGACGCCTACCGCAAGCTCCGAGAGGGGTCCGACAAGCCTCTTCGGAGACAGCTCGGTGACGCCGAGCGAGACTCCTCGACGGCGGCGAAGGCGGCGCGCAGCGGTGGCAGCGCGGCGCCGGGCAGTCGGAACGAGGCCGAGTCCGCGGAGAGCGAAGATAGCTCCGCGCCGGCTACCTCCTTCTTGAGCACCTCGAGCAGCCTGGCTGGGTCGAGGCGCACCGCGCCGCCGCCGCCGTCCGGCGCCGCCTTGGTCACGCTGAGGGTGTGGCCGACGCCGTAGTGCGCCTTTGAGGAAGGGGGGTGAGACTGGTGCCGAGACAGAGCCGAGATACAGCCATAGCCGAGACGGAGCCGAGACAGAGCCGAGACAGAGCCGAGACAGAGCCGAGGCCAAGACAGAGCCGAGGTGCAGCGCGGATTGCGCCTTGAGGAAGAGGGGCGAGCCGACGCAGCGCAGCCGCCCCTCCGCCATGATCGCGATCCGGTCGGCGAGCATCTCCGCCTAGAGGACGGCTCCTGGACATGTCCTGGACGGCTCCTGGACATGTCCTGGACGGCTCCTGGACATGGAGCAGCTCCGCCGGGCCGTCTTAGTGTCTGGGAGGTGCCTCGGAGGTGCCTCGGAGGTGCCTCGGAGGTGCCTCGGAGGTGCCTCGGAGGTGCCTCGGAGGTGCCTCGGAGGTGCCTCGGAGGTGCCTCGGAGGTGCCTCGGAGGTGCCTCGGAGGTGCCTCGCAGGTGCCTCGGAGGTGCCTCGCAGGTGCCTCGGAGGTGCCTCGGAGGAGTCTAGGAGGAGTCTAGGAGGAGTCTAGGACGTGTCTAGGAGCGCATCGCCTCGTCGAGGAAGTGCGTCGTCAGCACGACCGTCCGGCCCTGCCGCTGCTCGCGCAGCAGCGCCCAGATGGCGCGGCGAGAGTGCGGGTCCATGCCCGAGGTCGGCTCGTCGAGGAAGAGGGTGCGAGAGCCGCCGAGCAGCGCGACGGCGAGGCACAGCTTGCGCTTCTGGCCGCCGGAGAGCGCCCCCGCCCGCACGCTGGCCCGCTCCTGCAGCCCGACCCGCTGCAGGGCGCGCGCGACCTCGGCGGCGAGGTCGCCGCCGCTCAGCCCTCGCAGCCGGCCGAAGAGCGTGAGGTGCTGCGTCGGCGAGAGCTCCTCCCAGATGGTGTTCACCTGCTGGCAGACGCCGATCGACGTGCGGATGGCGCGCAGCTCGGCCGAGAGCGAGCGGCCGTCGATGGTCGCGTCGCCGGCGGTGGGCGGGACCAGCCCAGTCAGCATCGAGATGGTGGTCGTCTTGCCGGCGCCGTTGGAGCCGAGCAGGCAGGTGATGGCGTCGGGCGGAAGCTGCAGCGAGAGCCCCTCCACCGCCACGCCGCGCGGGTACTCCTTGCGCAGCGAGCGCACCACCACGCCGCGGTCGGAGAGCGGCGCGGCGAGCGGCTCAACCACCGGCGCGTCGTCGCGCGCCTCGGCGGCCGTGTGCGAGCCGCTCGCGGCGGCGGCGGCGGCTCGCGCGCGCGGGCGGCGGAGTGCGTCGAGGCAGAAGAGGGGGCTCCGCGCGGTGCCCACGCCGTTCGCGAGGACGGCGTCGAGGTAGTAGGCGAGGGCGAGGTAGAGGAGCGTGTCGAGCGCGAGAAAGGCGAGCGAGGCGGAGAGGGGGAAGGGGCCCTCGTGCACGCTGCCCCACGTCACGCCCTGCTGCGACCCCTCGTACTGCGCCATCTGCGACGCGCCTGCGGACAACACGTCGCGGACGCGTCATGGACACGTCCCGGCGAGGCGCCTCCTGCAGGCGCCCGTCTGCGACGCGCCGAGGTAGAAGGCCATCGCGGGCAGCAGCGACGCGAGCGCCTTGGCGCCGACCTGACCGTCGGACAGCTGTGAATGGCGTCTCTTCACACGAGCAGCTGTGAATAGGTCTCTCACCTGCCCGTCGGACAGCTCGCCGCCCTCGAGGAAGAAGGAGTAGAGCTGCGACGAGAGGAAGTAGAGCAGAGGGCCAACCTATTCACAGCTGCAGGTGTGAAGAAGGAGTAGAGCTGCGACGAGAGGAAGCAGAGGGCCGACCAGCGCGGCGAGGCGCGCGTTCGAGAAGAGCGGCGCCATCGCCAGCGTGAAGGCGAGCGTGGCGAGCCCGAACAGGAGAAAGAGCAGCAGGACGAGCGCGCCGTCCGAGTGCGTGTAGCAGGAGAGGCCGATCTCGGCGGCGCAGACGGCGGAGATGAGGAGGAAGGCGGCGGCGGAGGTTGCGAGCAGGGAGGTGTAGTAGGCGGGTGGCGCCGTGCCCATGATCAGGAGCTGCTCCTACAGCCTCGATATCTCCCCATCTCTCCCCATCTCTCCCCATCTCTCCCCATCTCTCCCCATCTCTCCCCATCTCTCCCCATGATCAGGAGCTGCTCCTACAGCCTCGAGCCATCTGGGGTGATCTCGGGTGATCTCGCGCGCAGCCCCGGCAGGGCCAGGCAGAAGGGAGGGGGCGTGGGCTCCTTGAGCCGCTGCTCTCGCTCGAGGACGACTGAGCGGAGGAGCGAGGAGAGGGGGACGAGGAGCGAAAAGATGGCGAGGATCCCGATCAGGTTGCCTAATTCACTATCAATGAACTGTTAATGAACTGTTAATGGACTGTTAATTGGGCGAGGATCCCGATCAGGTTGCCCGCAAAGTCAAAGAACACGGAGTGCTGGTACGCCGGCACCGGGAAGGGGACCCCGTACGCCGAGGGCGGCCGCAGCGCGCCGCCCGTCTCGCGCGCGAGGATCGCGTCGTTGAGCGCGTGCTGCAGCGAGAGGAAGCCGGACGAGTAGTACGGCTCGAACCGGCGCGAGCGGCCGGTGGCGAAGCGGTCAAAGAGGCGCCGCGTCGAGGGCACGTTGCTCGCGTTGAAGCGCAGAGTGTAGCTCCAGTTGCCGCCGCCGCCTCCGCCATCCCCGCCGCCTCCGCCGCCCGGCTCTGAACCTCCGCCGCCCAGCTCTGAACCTCCGCCGCCCAGCTCTGAACCTCCGCCGCCCTGCTCTGAAAAGACGACTGCCGCCCAGATGGTGTCTCCCTCGTAGGCGCGCGAGTCGAGCTCTGCCTCGGAGTCGAGATAGCGAGGCACGACGGGGGCGGGCATGCCTGCGAGGGTGTGCGGCCGGCCTCAGGGAAGGCACCACCCCCTTTGGTCGGGCGCACACCGGTGTCGGGCAGAGAGGCGAGAGGAGGGGAGGAGGGGGCGCTGCTGCTGCTGCGAAGGGGCGAAGCACGCCTCGCATGAGGCCGAGCGGCCTCGCCGCGGCGGCGAACTCGAGCTGCGCCGTGTGCACGCGCGCAAGCAGCGCCTCCACGAGCGTGCGGACAGCAGGCGAGTCAGGCACGACGACAAACTGCTCGAGCGTGCAGTTGTGACGGCACCGCCGCACCGGCTGTCCCGCCATACTCGCGCTGTGGCGGTAGGGCGGGAAGCGGAGGCCGCCGGTGAAGTTGGTCTTGCCGGAGGCGTAGAGCAGGTACAGCCAGAGCGGCGGCACCCACCCAGGCGCAGAGAGGTTCGAGAAGAGCGCCGGCGTGGGCAGGCCGCCGGTCGGGATGGACGCGCCGGAGAGGAGCCAGCTCGGGAGGAGGAGCGAGCCGAGCGCGTCGACCGGGCCGCGCGGCGCGAAGTCTTGCGCCTCCACCTTGTCCACGGTCGCGGCTGCCACGCCGATCACCATCAGTGAGCAGAGCAGCGCCGGCAGCAGCAGCTCGCAGATGGTCGTGCGCCATTTCGCTCGCTTGAGAGGCAAGTCCTTGCAGGCCACGAGGGCCCACGCCTGCGCGGCGGCGCTCGTCGGGCGGTGCTCGCCCTCGAGGAGGCGACGGTCCATGCAGACGCGGCCGGCACCTCCAGGAAAGTCGGCCCGAAGCAGGAGCCCAGGGTTTCTTTTTTGGGTGCTTTCGCGCGAAGGCGCTGTGGTTTAGCGGCTAACTCTTACCCTTAGGGTAGAATTACGGGTCTATATGGGGTTAGGCTATCCGTTAGCGTTTTTTTTGACACCTCACTGTGAGGTGGGTAAAAAAGAACAGGTCCCCGCCCTTGGCCTTGCGATCTTTGTGCAGGGTTCTTTGAGAGAGAGATTTGTTTTGTTTTGTTTTGTTCTTTGTGGGTGTGGTCGGCGACTAGCCGGGGTCGTCCTCCCGATGGGGGACTAGCACTAGCCGTCTTCCACATGGTCCCTCGGGTCCCTGCTGCTCCTAATCTCTTCGTACATCCTCCTGCACTGATCTCCGCAAAGTCCTGCTCCCTCCCTCGTCTCGCCCTGCGCGTCTGCTCCGCCTCACCGTCTTCTGCCCTGCGTCGTCTGGCGACGGGTCCTCCATAGTCGGTCGAGGTCGCCGCGCCCTCCTCGTGCCTCTTCCCAACGTTCCCTCGGCGGCCGATGCCGTCTGCTCCGGCTCCCCAGTCCCCGGGTCTGCCCTGCTCTCGTCTGCGCTAGTTTCTGCTCGTTCACCACCGGCGTCTCTCCTCTTCCTTCTCCCTTCTTGTATGCTTTGCACATCGCGTCGATTCCTGTTCGCGTGAGCACCACCTTGAAGCCCGCCCAGCAGCTAAACCGCTCCCTAAGTCGAAGGAGCATCATCAGAGATCAGTCTCACCCACTTCGCTCGCTGCCCACCGTCTCCGTTCCCTCCCGCTTGAGCCGCCGTCGCGGCCCTCGTTCGTTGGGATTGGCACTCCCATCGACCCTCACGACCTCCTGCGGTCTCTGAGATGGACACCAGTGGGTGTGGGACCACAGCCAGGATCTACACTCGAAGGCTGGGTAAGCAGTAGAGGTCGATACTCGACGCGTCCCACATATGGTCTGTGTCGCTGTCGGCACGCTGTCGCGACAGGACGTCGAGCGACACCGGTGGCAGTGCCACCCAGGAGTGGTCGGGCGGTCTCCCGTCATGAGAGAGTCATCATGTGATCCGTATGATGATTCCTGACAACCGCCTCAGTCAACTTTCGTCACAGTTCCCGCTCTGAGAGGAGCTGCGGGTCAGTTCGACAGCTGGAGCTGTGTCGCCGGCGTGCGGCGGCCTGCCTCCGGAGGTGCCTCTGAGGTGGACATTTTTTGGTCACCGTGAGAGAACGCCTTCGAATTTTCACTCCGGAACTTCAACTGAGCACGCGCACCGGCCAGGCTACAATAGTGCCAGTGAGGCGGAGAGGGTGAGGCGGAGGTGAGGCGCAGTCGGAAAAGGCCGCGACCGGGTGGTTCCCAATTTTCCTACCGGTACAATCGCTGTGAACCCAGCCACCGTAGCTTTAGGGTTACGTAGGTGTCGGTTCGAAGAAGCAAATACACACATCATCTAGAAGAGTCGGCCCACATATACCTCACAAATCAGTCACATCATCATGCGTACTCGACACGCGTACTGCGGGAATCCCAATAGAATTATGTCCTTGATTGGCCGCACATGGAAAACTCCTTTCGGCAGCCTCGTGCACCTCGTGCATGGAGATCCCGGAACACCCCTTGCAAACGCGCTCGCCGGCCCGCCTCCGCCGTAGCTGGCTGGCGGAGAACGCGCCCTTTGGCAGCCGAAGGGAGCAGCTCCTGCACTGCTGGACGCCCTCGCTGCCGCTCGAACCGCCGCTCGAACCGCCGCTCGTCGCGGCACCCTGCGTCGACGGCACCGCGGTGGCGGCGGCGGGGCCAGGGCGGAGGGGCCCGTCGGCGTCGCCGCCGCCGTCGCCGTCGCCGCCGCCGTCGCCGTCGGAGGGTCGTTCCGAGAGGCGGAGCGGGAGGGAGGGGTGGTTGGCGAGGGGCGAGCCCTTGAGGAGTGGCCAGAGGTCGGCGTGCGCTCGCAGCGTCTCGAGGAGTGCGTGGTGCGCCTGCTCGCAGCGGTCTGTCTTTGCTCACGGCGCGTCTCGAGGTGTGTGCGTGTGGTGCACTCGAGATGGGGGGTGGGGGGTGGGGGTGGCTGGGGGGGGGCGGAGCTACGGCCCTCGCGCGGTGAGTGAGAGGAGAGGAATGGTTGTCGTCGAGGACGCTTGCTAGAAGG